ACGATATGACTTCGCAGAAAAGGACTTGAAATAGACCAATGACCACCCCGATTTTCAAGTGTACGTACAGATCCGAGTTACAAGGCATCCCTTCCACACACGATCTTCACGCCATTCCCAGACGAGGCTGCACACAAAACAGTTCTCTACTTATACAGAAAAACCTGACATAGCAAACCATTTTGAAATTCGATTGATTTCATTGGGAATCACAGTCGTTGTCGATTGACAAGATAACAACTTCATATCCACCATTCCAGCGTCCTGTAACGTTCCTCTTCAAGAGGAAACGGATAAGAAAATGATGTTCGCCAAAACCAACGTTCATCATCCATCCTTCAAATTGCAGAGAAGAAAGATAGTTCTAAAAAACTCTGTAAACCACCGGATGGGTGGAGCCTGATCTAAACTACATTTTATTATTGGATAAATTAGATATTTTTGTCACTGTAAAGTATTTAATATTAACCAATCATAATCCATCCAACTAACAACCCACTTATTTGTAAGTGCTGAAATTACTTGTAATTTCAGCACCAAAGAGACTTGAATTTAACTTAGAAATTAGTTACCTCTCCAAGAGAACTTCAGCAGTTGCAATAAGCCAGTATACTCTAGATCTTTTGAGCCTAGCAGAGACTAGTTAAACACCCTGAGACTAGTAGATATAAGAGTAAGATTAGGATCGGTATTAGACTAAGAAGTTGCACGAATCTATCCGGCCGAAAATAAGATAGCGTAACGAGCAGACGGTGTACCCTATTCGAAATTACTCTATGAGTTAACCACATCGGTCCTAACTCATCTGGTGCGACCATAAGTCTCGAATAAGACCTTAATAGCTGAGAATTAACCAAATATAGATTAGAAATAAGACAAAACATTTTCAAAATGTTACACGATAAAAATTTAATTGAAATGTCTCTACGACTCAATAGATCAGAGCCGATATTCCGCACAATACTAGAACTACCCGGTATTGGAAGAAGACCTCGGACAAGAGACGATATACGACTACGTAGAAACTTACCATTTAGTTTCATGGTTGTACGACAAAAGCCAACACAAACTTTTATATTTAGAATCATATTAGCAATGAATTTAGATTTTCATATGCAAACATAAAATTTTGAAGTAAAATCTTCATGATTATTTCAGGCGCTAAGCAAAATTATTAATGTACAATAACGATTGATAAAAAGATCTCAGATCGATCCCTTAATTTCTGCAGTATTATATAAAACATATCTGAAAAATGTTTATTGAAAATAAAAATAAAAGTTAGTATCATGACAATAAATAGTTAGTAATTATAAATCATCCTGTTGTTCCAGCTTCATCACCTAAACACAACAGCAATCATAAGCTCACTAACATCATTTAAAAACCAAAACTTCTATTAAACAAATCTAAATCATCTTAAACTTAAATTCACTTAATTTTAAATTAGATCATCAAGGCTTATCCGTGGATCTTTATAAATTTTCTATCTCATTAATTTTAAAATCTGATCATCAAGGCTTATCCTTGGATCAAAAAGAACAATTTTGTTCTCCCCCACCCACTTAGCAAGTGTCTAACGACCTCAAACGTCGATTCACTATCCAACCTTTCCAAAAGACCCAGGACTAATAGAAATTTTTAAATAAAACTAACCATTCAAATTAGGCTAAACAGTGAAGAACTTCCGTTATTCATCCTTCACTTGAACCCTCCTTTTACCAGAACCAGGATAGATCTTAGACTTAGAAAGTTTAAAATAGTATCTAACGAACTACTTGCGTTCTAATTATACCTGAACCTTGTGGATCGATTTACTATTCTCCAACCCTTGAACACAATCACTACCCCTAAGTAAGATTAAGTAAGTTAACACCTTAACTTAGACTAGCCACGAGAAAGTAAAAAATCATTCTCCGGAATCGATATACTTTTCTCTCCAACCCTGAATAAAAAGACCCAGGTTAAGCTAACCATAAAATCGTAAGGACTAACAGTCTAGGAAAATAAAAATCAATAATAACTTCTTGCATCCCTCATCCTAAACCTTATGTCATTCAAAAATTTAGGAAATAAACAAATAATCATTTTACACAATTGTGAAATAGACAACCAAAAATACGATCTTGTAATAACTCCACATACACAAACAGTTGGATACATTCGAACAAAACGACAAACAATAAGAAGAAAAAAATTATAAACAAACAAAGACAAATCACAAGAAAAAGATTTTCGAATAATAGAAACGCATTTTCTGAATCGGAAGCCAACAGCTTAGACGAACTATACAAATTAAAAGAATCAATCAATAAAAATTGCCCCGTCCATGATCAATTGTCTTTTTCCGACTCAGAAACAACTTCAAATTCATCAAAAAGAGGAAAAAGAAGAATAAAAGGGCAATATAAACACAAACCAGTACACCTGTATAATTGGAATCAAGCAATTAGACACATTGATAGTTATATATTAACAGTCATCAAACGAAAAAATGAGCGACACTCAAAGTGACGAGAGTCCAGATGAAGAAGCAGTTTTTCCCTTTCTTATAGATTCACTCGATGATAGAGGACAAACACGATTTTGTAAAAACTTACTCGTAAATTTGTTTGAACCAGAAATCAGTCCATGCAAAGCAGAATTCCCGGATGTAAAAATCAAAAGATAAATCATAGAACATTATTTGAAAGACATAGGTAATCTAACACAACAATACGGAATCTACACCATAGAATTCAGCACACCAAATACAGCCCATGGTAAATATGTAATTCAAACAGACGATATTGAAATAGAATTTTCAAAAATATTCATAGAATAAATCAAAAGCAACTACTTGATCCACACGTTTGAATTCTATTTCCTTTAAATGCAAATTTCATTGTCTGAAAAACAATCCAAATCTAAGGAAAAATTAAAATAGCCATTTGCTGTGCAGGTTGCACAGAATTTACCGACCATAGTCTTTAAAAACTGCGAAATTTAGTATAATTTTACCTGCGTGGTGTGATAAAAAGATCTGACGTAAAACTATAATTTAGGACAGTTTGACAGTAATAACTTTTCGAACAAAAATGTTTCTAGAAAATGACAAGAGTTTTTTTTCAAATTTATCCCTCACCCTGAATAAAAAGACCCAGGTTAAGCTAACCATAAAATCGTAAGGACTAACAGTCTAGGAAAATAAAAATCACTAATAACTTCTTGCATCCCTCATCCTAAACCTTATGTCATTCAAAAATTTAGGAAATAAACAATTAATCATTTTGCACAATTGTGAAATAGACAACCAAAAATACGATCTTGTAATAACTCCACATACACAAACAGTTGGATACATTCGAACAAAACGACAAACAATAAAAAGAAAAAAATTATAAACAAACAAAGACAAATCACAAGAAAAAGATTTTCGAATAATAGAAACGCATTTTCTGAATCGGAAGCCAACAGCTTAGACGAACTATACAAATTAAAAGAATCAATCAATAAAAATTGCCCCGTCCATGATCAATTGTCTTTTTCCGACTCAGAAACAACTTCAAATTCATCAAAAAGAGGAAAAAGAAGAATAAAAGGGCAATATAAACACAAACCAGTACACCTGTATAATTGGAATCAAGCAATTAGACACATTGATAGTTATATATTAACAGTCATCAAACGAAAAAATGAGCGACACTCAAAGTGACGAGAGTCCAGATGAAGAAGCAGTTTTTCCCTTTCTTATAGATTCACTCGATGATAGAGGACAAACACGATTTTGTAAAAACTTACTCGTAAATTTGTTTGAACCAGAAATCAGTCCATGCAAAGCAGAATTCCCGGATGTAAAAATCAAAAGATAAATCATAGAACATTATTTGAAAGACATATGTAATCTAACACAACAATACGGAATCTACACCATAGAATTCAGCACACCAAATACAGCCCATGGTAAATATGTAATTCAAACAGACGATATTGAAATAGAATTTTCAAAAATATTCATAGAATAAATCAAAAGCAACTACTTGATCCACACGTTTGAATTCTATTTCCTTTAAATGCAAATTTCATAGTCTGAAAAACAATCCAAATCTAAGGAAAAATTAAAATAGCCATTTGCTGTGCAGGTTGCACAGAATATACCGACCATAGTCTTTAAAAACTGCGAAATTTAGTATAATTTTACCTGCGTGGTGTGATAAAAAGATCTGACGTAAAACTATAATTTAGGACAGTTTGACAGTAATAACTTTAGAGCCAATTCGAACAAAAATGTTTCTAGAAAATGACAAGATTTTTTTTTTCAATTTTATCCCTCACGCTTGTGTAAACTCCAAAGACATATACTTAGCGAATCGCATCCTAATCATAAGACAAAATAGAATTCAGTTTGGCACGCTGAGTAAGATATTTACAGGTGAAATTATTTGCATTTGAGTTCCAGGCAACAATTTCTTTCAGCTGATATAAAAAGTCGAAAATGAGTTTGAAATGTCGAAAAGAACACGAAAGTCGGAATAAAACAAGTTTGGTTTGTTGGGTTCATCAAACCAAACTGCAACAAAGCGTCAGGGATAAAACTCTAACAAATTTCAAAAATTTCTGATCTTAGCGGAGAATTTTCATATTTTCAAACAAATAAGGATGTGTTGTCAATAGGCGTATTGATCTAAATTGCTAAAATTACAACTATCACTCTGAACATTATTCTTGTAATTTGTTTTCTCCTTTTTGATTTTTTAAGAACTTCCTCAACTTAGTTAGTACACAAGTTTTTGATTCAAAAGCGTCAACAAGAAGAATCTGTCATCTCTAATTTAAAAACGCCGGTTACGATAGCTTTAATTGGAATCCAATAAACCCTGACTTGAGGCCCGAAGTGTTATAAACAGTTTTTTTCTAGATTAATGAAATAAAAAAGCTAGCATCTCCGGTTAACTCGATTTTGAAATTTGGATTTAGTCCATTTATCTATAGTGCAGATAGATGTTTAAAAAATACAGCAATGTAAAATAATTCATTATCATTTGGTATAGAATGAATTTATTTTAGTTATAAGTTTGTTCACGGTCCAAGTTGCAAAACATTCGTTTCATCGGCATCTCCAGAATCAGCCTCAACTCTGGCCACAACAGTAGTGTTGGAGATAGCTGCGAGAGGATGCCACAGGTTCACATCACTGTTGATTTCATGTGTGCTGATTACTGTCTGCTTGTTGTTGCCTTCTCCACTCTTGTCCTCATCTGAGGACTCATCTGACAGAGTGTGCAGAAGGAGAGTAGCTTTATCAGTCTTCTTTCTGGTTATAATGTGATGATCAGACATGACCACGAATCTTCCCATCGATGCTTCTACTGGTCCCCATATAGGCCCCGAGATAGATGGAGATGGTGAGTCACTGTACCGATAACCAGTTACATAATCATCCATATAGTCACCCACAAATAACTGACCGTGTCGTAATTCCATCTGGTAACACCCATTCGGCCACTGCAGGTTGTCGTCTAGAGTGATAGTGGACACCCAGGTGTCATTACGGAAGACATGAAGTTCTTTTGTTCCTCTTTCATGCACGAGCAATGTGTTCCCACATGCAGCCATGTATGTGTCTTCAAATTAATTAAAGAGCATAGACACACTCACAGCGCAAACAAACCCACAAACAGTGAACACGATTCGGTTCATTTAGAATTGCGGAAAATTCAAGAATATTTTTGATGACTTAGCCCATAAATATATTTTAATTGTGTGAAGTAACTTGTTTTAAGCTTGTCATGCAAAAGTTATAAAGATAATTGTGATGTTTTTCTTTTGGTCAAAAAAAGGACAATCAATGCTCGAAAAAACTACCAGACCCATGTTCAATATGGGCATGATTTATTCCGGCCACGGAAGGTGGGGACAGGAACTTTGTCTTCAGTGTTCATTTAGTTATGTTTTCATGCAAAATCAAGTTCACAAAACTCCTTGATGTGAACTTAGTATTATATCATAACAAAGCCCTTGTAATCCTCTATCATATTGAAGCCCTTAAAAGATTATGAAGAAAAAAACGGTTTAGATTTTTGGTTTTTGGTCTAATTTCGAACAAAAGTGCAGTGAGCGAGAAATGATTGTTAACTTAAAAAATCGGTTATTTTGCTGTGAAAAACTTTTTTTTAGAAATCTAGCTACTGAAGTTTCATGTGGCACTTCCTTGGAATTTGAAAATTGAAAAGTGGAACAAATAATTTTTTTTTTTTAAATTATTTGAAAGAATCTCAAAAAATTTTCAAATTCGTAGTTCCTTTTTGAAAGACTGCTGAAACGACCGTTGGATTAGTCTATTTTTACAGGTAAAGTAATTTAAAAAACAGAAAAATTCAGACTAGTTTTTCTCGACACCCAAAAATCCTCTTTCAAATCACTGCTGAGGGGCTTTAATAAAAAACTACAACTGAGACCTGGCGAGGATTCTTTGATGTAGTCAAAACTGGCTAGAAAAACAGACCCAATGCCATGAAGTGTTCGGAAAATTTCTCGGATTTCATGAGGTTTAAATTTACGTTTTATATGTTCTTAAAAGTTTTAACTAAACTGGTACTGGGCATGAATTTAGAGACTTATGTTAATCGTTTTATTTAATCTCGCCCATGAGGATGTCTATGAACATTCAAGGTGGATGAGGAAGGTAGTATTTATAGATTTCACAGCCGCGGTCGCATCTTCACTGAAGTCCACCACAAATATTTGATATTCCTCTTTTTTTCTACCAATAAAATATATTCTGTGTTGATAGGATGTCATGTGGCGGATGTCATCGATCCCTGGCCACTGATGAGTGCTCATAGTACTTGAGAGGAGTCTGCCATTCTCAGCCGTCCACGAGTTCAAATTATCTTCTCCCTGTTGTACTTTCTGCTAATTCTTTGGTTAATGCTGATTAGACAAAGTTATTTATATATTTAAAGATAGTCCAATTAAGCGATCTAAGACCACATCCCAGATGGTTTATTTAATTAAACCAACAACCCCGGTGTTCGAAAAATCTCGGACAGGGGCGGATTTAAGGGGGACGCCCCTTTTCCCTCAGGGATTCGACCCCCTGCCGACCCAAAGGGTCCCCCCTTTGATACTTTTTCAGAAATCCAGTTTTGTCTGACCAACCCTAAATTTTTTCTAAAGGTGCCTTGGGCGCCAATATATACTAATTTTGAGGGGGAGCGCGCGCCAAAAAAAAACGCGTTTTTTTTTGTCAAAAATTTCCAAAAAGTTCCTAAAAAGGCCTTTTTTGGACTGTTTTTTCAAAATTTTGCCTGCGATTCGACCAAAAAAAGGTCGACAAAATTTTCGAAATTTTTTTGAAAATCCGCCCCCCCTCGAGAAAACCCTAGATCTCTCCCTGGTCTCGGATTAAAATAACTCAAGTTTTAGAACTTCTCAATAGAGCAACAATATGGAATTTATTCCTGGATTTATTGTTTTTTTTCATCTGCGATCACAATGTGTTTCAAATTCAATATCAGGCAAAAAAACACCGATGCGAAAAACATCAAGGCAACGATCTTTTGTGAGGTTTTGTAAGGTTTGACAAAAATAACATAAAATATCTCGTTTTGTAAGCTTTTTGGCGACGCACTTTATTTGAGAAAATTTAGAACAGCAGCCAATATTAGATGTCGTTAATATCATCAATTTGGCTATTTAGGAAAATATGACTGCAAAACTGAGGGAGAGGCGATAATTTTTTATTAATTATCGAGGCCAAAAAACGATACCTCGAAAAAGACCAGTGAACTATCATCACATTCAGAACATAATAATCTATATAATTTAGAATGATACTTTATTAAAGTCTGATAGTAACAAACAATGATTTCTGTAATTTGAAAAATTACTTATTTGTCTTTCAAAAAAAAACTAGCGAAAAACTTCAATCTCAAAACCGTTCGTTTATATTATGACTTATTAAACAAGCGAATTTTTGAGCACTGTGTATCAAAAGCTGCAAACTCACGAAAACACAAAATATGACTCATTTCAAAAAATTCCTCGGGATAACGAAACCGTAGGCCGATTGATCATCCTCCGAAAACATTTTTCAGAGGGCGTGAGTTTCATGATTCAACTCACGTCAAAAGTTCTTTTTCGGCTTCCTCAAAATTGTCGGACAAATTGAAAAAAGTCACTTCAGAAAAAAATCGTGTTATTATCCGGGCCGAGGAGCTCACTTTATTTTTTGACTTTGAGTTCAATCACATCTCAGTGCTCGGCCAATGAAGACTGTTCGAGAAAAGATCTGAGTCGAGAACAAACTCGAAACATACTGCAAGCACAAACGAAACATATCAAAACGTGGTCGAGCTTGGTCGAAACATACCCCGCGAGCGGCTGGAACATACCGATCGCACCTCGACTCGGTTAACTTACATACACCGTCTCTTTTAAATGGAAAAAACAATCTCTTCATTTTAAGCCCACAGGTTCATAAAGGTGAACATGAAGCCCTATTTTTTCTAAGAACGATTCCTTCAGTCAAAAAGTAGCCCAAAAATTGCATATAGTTCTGATCCAGGTGCACAACAGCAATTCTCCATGAAGAAATGACCGTCTCGTATGTTGGCCTTTTTTGAGGAAACTCATCAGAACATTATATGTATTTATAAATGCCCGATGCTCCCCCCCTCACTTTAGCCTCAACATCTACTACTTATATATATATATACTCTTTGGTCTGTTTAAAACTTTGTCATATGATAAATATATCTTTTTCTTATTTACATAGAGTGTGAAGTGATGATTTTCAAGAAAAAACTACATATTTTTCATTTTTAAATACTTTTCATTTTTTTTTTCATTTTAATTTCCATCAATTATTTTGATCCAAACTACTCCATAAAAATAAAAGAGCAGACCGAACAAGCAGGGCTTTGCCCTGATACAAGCATTCTTGTTTGAATCTGTAAACAAAGATATCACCAACTCTGCAACAGTATTGTGCGTTGGTTTATATGGACTTTTTTTGAAATCAACCTAAAATGTTTTTTTTTCGAGTATTTGGTTTAAAAACATGAATTTTAAACAGTCAAACAGACTATTATTTTTTTTCGACTTTTTATACAGCGGCACAGTGGCAGATCTAGTATTTTCTCGAGCGGCGGGCGGCCTTCAAAAAATTTTTAGAAAATTTTGTCGACCTTTTTATAAGATCGACCACGTTGATTTACCGAGTCCTCTTAGAACACACTGAAAACCCTATTTTGACAAAAAAATTGTGCCGCATGCTAATCTTTGAAAAGAAAGCTTTAAAACTCCTTTTCTGATCTGTTTTTGGAAAATTTTAATTTAAAAAAATGCGTTTTATCGGAACCCGAGCTTCTTCAAAGTTAGCATACGTTGACGCATACGCCTTTATAAAAATTTTTTGAATTGTCTGTCTAAAATTGATGTTATAAAATAATACCAAAAGAGAGACTATTTGGTTGGTGAGGGGGTCGAATCCCTGAGGGGGAAGGGTCGTACATCCACCCCTACCCACCTCTCCCACCTCCTCCCCGCCTCCCCCACCCACCTCTTCCCCGTCTCCCCTCACCCACCTCCTACCCGCCTCCCTCTAAGACCGCCCCTGCAGCGACATTTACATTAAATGCAGTTTTATTCTTTTTTTCTGTTCTTTTTTTTATTTTTAATTTGTTCGTTCTTCTATTCCATTATTCAATTTAAAAAATTTACAAGTGATAACGAATTTTGCTCTTTTTAAGCGGTTATTTCATTATGATGATGTAGTAAGAAAAAAAAATTCTTTTCGTTTTTTAGAATTCTTGACAAAGCTAAAATTGCAATATTTCTATCCGTATCATGCATGAAATGTTCGTCGCTGCAACATTATTTTGGATCATATGGCAACCAATGAAACTGGAAGATCTTAGACAACCCAAACTAACCAACTTTAGGTGAAACATCTTGATGCCGAACGAAAATGTGCATGCAATGTGGATAAATGGTAGAAACTGACTATTTTTTGGCAGGCTGGATAGCTTTTGATAGATATTCTGCGAATTGCAGAAACCAAAACTTTTATAAACTATTTAAGGATTCTTAGATCTAACTTATGTTTCAGCTGAAAATACCACACATAATTGAATGCGACAAATTTTTGAGGAGTAAGCAATCTCGCATTATATGTTGTTTGTAGTGTCTGTACTGTACTAGCGTGCTGTGGTAATCTGCATGGGTGCTGCAATCCACCCAGCGATTCATAGTATTGTCCAATTAAACCTAATTCGGGCTGATCAAATTGTAGGTAAACGAAATTCAAGTACCAACACATTTCATTATGTTCTGCCAACTGATTCAACAGCTGTAGCGCTTGTTCGTCTCGATGTTCTTGCAAGTCCGAATTTGTCGGTTGACCATGAAACAACATCAAGCCACTGAACATCAGCCACATTGATCGCTGTGCTGTAGAAAGTTTGATGAAACTAATCAAATACCTGGCGACTCGTCTGGCTGTGACTTGGTCTTCTGTCGTCAAATCTTCCTCAATTAGACTTTTCAAAGCCCCTAAGAAGCCGGCGCCTGCAAAATACCACTGTTCACCAGAAAGCATATCCAATTCAAATCTGGTCAGGTTACGATCCATCGTAATCAACCCTGTCAGAAGCACCTGTCTTTCCATCATCATGGTTATCTCGCCTTCATACTTTGCCAGATTGTCTGCTCTTCTTCCATCTTCAATTGCGCCCAAAATTAATTCGGTTTGGTCATCAGTTTTTTTTTGTTGTAAAATCTTCCAGTCTTTGAGTTTGCTCATCAATTTTTTCATTAACTGCATTTTTTGCGTCTTCAACTGCATCTGTTAAAACATCTGCGAGCGGTCTTTTTTCTTTTTTGTTGAAGGTGCCGAGAACTGCACTACCGAGGCCTGCGAATGAAGACGACACTGGTCCCGCGTATGGTTTCAGATTTAAGACGAGTCCAAAACTTGAGACAACCTCACAAACTACACTTGCTTTGTCAACAAAACTTTTTGAAGTTTTGAATTTACGGATAGATTCGACACCCTTATCAAATGATTCTATTACCGTTGTGGCTTCATCTATATAGCCCGTATTTGTGCTGCTCGTACTCACGGATTGCTTCTGTGCCGTTCTTCGATGACGGTTTCGATTGACGTAATGATCAGCCTCCACCTCCGATGCATATTCGGTCGCAAGCGAGTCAAAGTAGATGACCAACTGCCCCACAGCTTCTCGGTGCAGTCGACTGTCGAGACCTGCCTCGTGCAGAGTGTTGTTCAGTCGCAGCAGTTTCTCTTTCACCTCCATTATGGGGCCATCATGGTCAATTCTTGTCAGGTTCGCTTGACTGACACTATCCGAGGTTTATTTATGGATCAAGTATTAGGCCAACTCATTTACTTATGACATTTCAGAAACAATTGTTCCTCCACCCTTCCACCTGCAAATTTTTATAATTAAAATTACTGTTCATATTGTCCAATTGTCATGAAAAATGACATGCTGACTAATTAGGCCATGACAAATCGAAGCTGCAGAGTGCAATCGAATCTTGTGGGCCCGAATCTCAGTACTACAATTTGCAAGTAAGTTGCCCTTGTTTTTTTCTGAATGACTTGTTTTGTGGTTTTTCTAATCGCTCCACAAATTAAAAAGCTTTTTTCTTTTATTCCTAACCCGCAGTGCAGGAAGTTTTGTACGCAATTTTTTGAACCAATTGTTTTAAAAAAATCAGCTAACAAATTGCGTGATATATCATGTTGAAACCTTTACAGCCACGGTTTCATGAATCAACCTTGTAAAACCACTCGTTAGACCATAAAATTGATGCTCGTGTGAGGTGGGGGGAAGGAAAAAAGGGGGGATTTAATGGTTCGTGAAATACGGTACTCCTTCAAAACAAAAAAGTGAACAAAAAACTAAAACAAATTAGTACCCGCACTGGAGTTTCATGAATAATAATCGATTATATTGTCAATTTATAGTCAGTACCCATAAAATTACAAAATTAATTGACAAGAATCCATTAAAAATGGATTTTAACCCTATTATTTTTAATCAATAAAATCCATTATAATTAATTATAATAGATTATAATCCAATAAAAATGGATTATAATCATAATAATTCATATATCAATATAATCCTTTTTACTCGATTAAAATCAATTGTAATGATTTTTTGAGAGGTTATTGTTGAATTTTGCCAAATTTGCAAATTATATCATTACTTGTGTAGTGCAGTTTCTACGGATTACGTTTCATAACCTAATGAAGTTTTTCACAGAGGAATCATACATTTAACTTTCTCTACTTTTTCAATTCGGCTTTTTTTTGTTGTTCAGTGATGAACATGTTTATTTGGGTTCTAATTTGGCAGAACGTTGATTTTTCAACAATTTGGTGTGATTATAATGTATTTACGAAAATTTTTCATCCAATTGTTTCAGGAGCTCAATTAGCTGCAAGCAAATTTCTGCAGAAAAAAAACAACAATTTTCAAGGATTTTTGTGGCCTAAAAAATCAATTTTGACAAAATAATCGCTTATAATGGATTTTTAAATATTGAAAACAATCAATTGTAATCCCCAAAAATCCATTTTCATGGTTGAATGGGTCATGAAAATTGATTATATGGGCTCAGCTTTTGTCGATTTAATCAATTATAATCGATTATTCCCATAAAACTCCAGTTCGGGTAGAATTTCAATAAAGTTGTGCGGCCTTACAATCAAAATAATGCTCCTTCTGCAAAATTTTTACTTGTATTTTGTGCAAGTTTTCTTGTTCATTATTAAATTTGAGTTCTATACCAAATTATTGAAATAGGCATTTTTCTACTCAATCAAAAGGTGATTATTAAGTAACAAAAAACTTTTCGCGAAAAAAACTGCTGGTTTCTGAAAGCCTCATTAGTCATCAGCCGCAAAATATACTCAAAAAAATTCAAATCTATACCGGATAAGTTTAAAGTTTTCAGATTGTTATGTCATTCAAATGTTTCTTTTTTCAATATCATAAATGACGTTTCCATTTTCAAGTTGTGTCAGGTCCCCCTAAAGGTTTGGGGAGTCGATAAAAAGGTGGGGGATTGAGTGTAAACAATGGAGTATTTCACACAGAAAGATGCTGAAAGTGATACCGTTTTGCAAAAATTAGCTAGATGTGAGTAGATTCAACATACCGTTAAGCTGTAAGAAATTTAGAAAAACTTCAAACTTTGCAGAAAAATGGAAGCAGTTTGAACAGATTATCATCCATTATTATTCATTATAACGGATTTTAAATGGACTATAACTATAATTTTTTGTAATACTGGATTATAATGGATTATAATGGGCTGTGTGTCCCAAAGTGGTAATTATTATCGAATATTATCCATGGAACCTAATTGCACGTGCCCAATAACCTATTCTTCTCCGTTTTGGGTTTTTTTATTGCAAATTGATTGGTGCTAAAAACTAAAAAAAAATTATGATGATGCATTTTATTTCTTTTAAACTGAAAAAAGAAACATGAAAAAATATCACAAACAATTGTCATTTTTATGCTTCTCTTTGCGGTTTTGTTTTAGTAAAGTTTCCACTATACGCTTTGTTTGCAAATTTGTTAAAGCTAACAGAAATAAATAAACAAATAGACTAACCCAGAAAAGATGGAAAAGAGTAGTCAGTTGCTCAGATGTAATAGTCCAGCGTTTTCCGACTTAATAATTTTTGCAGCGAAAAACGTTTATTTTTTTTTCGAAAACATGGCAACATAGTTGACTCAGTATCACCTTGCCATATTTAGCTGAAATTAAAACTCACGTATAAACAGTTGCTTGGTCAGGCTAAAGTCCCCCACTGCTTTAAAAACTGAGTACATTAAAAAAAATTGAAAAAAAAATATTTTTGGAGTCCATATCAGGCATTTGGGCTCTTTTTCCTTCCCCCCCCCCACCTGCAAATTTTTCAATTTGAAATTACTGTTCACATTGTCCGATTGTCATTAAAATTGACATGCAGACTAATTAGGCCATGACAAACATATTTGGTCTTCATAATCAACCTTGTAAAACCACTCGTTAGAGCATAAAATTCATGTTTGTGTGTGAGCTGGGGGGGGGGGGGGGGGGTGGGGGAGGAAAAAGAGTTGGCATTTGGAGCCCCTTTTTCCTTCCATGTTTTTGGAACCCCTTTTTCCTACCCCCCCCCCCCCCCCACCTCACTCAAACATTAATTTATGGTGTAACGAGTGGTTTTACTAGGTTAATTATGAGGACCAAATATGTTTGTCATAGCCTAATTAGTCTGCATGTCAATTTTAATGACAATCGGACAATGTGAACAGGAACTTCAAATAAAAAAATTTGCAGGTGGGGGGGGGGGGTGAAAAAGAGCCCTGAGAGGAACTTAACATTATACTACGCTTCACCATCTCCGAGTTTGTTTTGAAAGTGTAAAATAGCAAGACAAAAAACTACCCAACAGTGTATTCAATATCCCTTTCTCCTTCCCTAGTGTAAAAATTTGAAATATCTCATTTTTACATGACCCATTATTACACAGTTTGTTCTTCGACAGCCGTAATTTTTCGACCACGATCAGCATCCACGATAATTACTGACGCTGCAATTAGAAGAACCAGCAGAACCATGGTGACCCTCTTGAGAAGAAATAAATCAGTGATGTCAATTTTCCCAATAGAGTATCAACTAAATTAAATTTGACCAATGCTTCAATTCCTCGCTCCAATTCCATTTATTTTAAGCTGTTTTTGCGCTAGACTCAAAACTGCTTCAATAACTTTCATACAAAACTTGTTCTATAATTAAGGGTTGCCACGATCCATTTGCTGTTAAACGACTCAAGAAACAACTCGAGAAATGAAAAAGGTCATTTGTTAGAACATAGATAGATACAGCAATTTTCAGAAAAACTCTAAATAAAGGTATGATATGACAATGTTTTTAGTCAAACATGAAGTTATTATTTTTTGCTGAATTAAACTCATAAACTGATTTCAACTAAAAAAAATTGATTAACTAGGGTGTTTAACTAGTCTCTGCTAGGCTCAATAGATCTAGGGTATACTGGTTTATTGCGGCTGCTGAAGTTCTCTTGGAGAGACAACTAATTTCTAAGTTAAATTCAAATATCTCTGGTGCTGAAATTACAAGTAATTTCAGCACTCACAAATAAGTGGGTTGTTAGTTAGATGGATCATGATTGGTTAATATTAAATACTTTACAGTGGTAAAATATCTAATTTATCCAATCATAAAATGTAGT